TTAGAACTAGCTGAAGATTGCAAGAAAACATCACCCACCTCCCAGCCTGTCAGGACACCATGGGCAGTACATTTGCAGGAAGGTTGTTCACTCAGAACATTTCAACTGTTGAGCTTACCTGGAATAAATTCACTAATACAAGCTGCACGGACTTTAAAGATCCATTCCCAGTCTCAAGGTTTGTGCAATGAGCATCAGAAATGTAAATATCTTAAAACTCCAATTACCTAAAGAATAAATCATTGTTATTTATAAAGATTGCTAGGACCAAAACTGACTCAACTAACAAGAAGCAGAAAGGATAACTTTTAAGTTCCTCTGACAAAGTCAAAACAAAGTATTCGGACCAAACATGTTTCCTACTTGGGGTAGAATATTTTGATCCTCCAAAGGCAGGTAAGAGCATTATGGGAAAAAAAAATCAGCATTATTATTGCCTGTAGATCAGCCATCACTGACACAGAATGTTTTTAAACAGAGGACAGACACATTAGTAAGACACAAAGGGGCAAACTGCAAACACAAGCTAAATTAGTCAGATTTCCCCAGAACTTGAGGGTATCTGAACAGCTACAGGACTCAAACCATTTAAAAAACCCTAAATATCAATTACCTCAAATTGCAACATTTTTGAACTTCAGTTCCTCTCTGAACTTGTTTTCAGGCTTACTTCTTTGCTTTATGACTGAAAGCAAATGTAAAGTTTTTGCTTGGGAGAGGATAATGACAGAAAAAGCCAAAATCCCATGAGAAGAATTCTGCAACTCAGTTGTCCACTATTTTTCACAGCCCCATCCCCAAGAACAATTTATTTATTTTTTTTTTTCCCCATAGAACGAGTTGATTTTAAGATACTATGAAAGTACCCAAGTTCCATTCTGAAGGCTCTTGGGTTTGGCAACTTGCTTTTTCTTCACCCCAGTTTTTCTTCTTTTTAAGGAATAGTTTTGTAAGTATGACAGGAACACGGTCTATAAACATGTCAACTTGAGCATAAAAGCCAGCTTTTATGCTACCATCTTTAACTTAATGTTGTAAAAGTAATGAACACAGATGACAATAGTTTGCTTTTGCAGTCATTAAAATATAGTTTAATGATCAAAGTTTAATTCCATTTTTCGTATTTTTCTAAACCCATATTTAACTACTCACCAATGCGACAAACAAAAGTTACAATCCAAACAGTAGATACAGACCAGTTGGAACTAAACTTTTAGCTACCAACTCAGAACTTTACTAGAAATTCAAAACTGTAGAAACGTATTGCTGTATTACAAGCAGTTGCAATAGAAAGAGCTTTTGATTTCTAAAAGTGCTCACAGTTCTCTAAAATGAGATCTGCAAGTTTACCAAGCTTTTATTTACGTGCATCCACAGTCTCACTTATCAAGGCTGCAATAAGTACACCCTCTGTATGTGCAATACAGTATCAAACAACACAGCCACATGTTCGCCATCAACTAAAACCATGTATTCTAGAATGAAACTCGATGGTCTAGATTTGGATTTTCTGTATAACAGCTATATATGGATTTGTGTACAGGACTGCACACACTGTATTATACTTTGTACACTTAAAATACTGCTTTAAGCTATGAATTTTCTATTTCAATAGGAAACATAAGAAGCTTCCATACCAAAAGAATTGAAAACTACTGTAGTACCTTCAACATTGAAAAGCCACAAACCTAAAAAAGCTATTTGGCAGCCATGTAACTACATATTTTAAAACTATGTTAACAGAGAAAAACACTTCAAGAGAGCCATGTGTTCTGCTAGTTTCTGCTCAGTTACTATTGGAATGCAGTTTACTCAATGACTTAGTATTAGCTAGTTGGAAACATCAGTTTCAGAATGCAAAGAATTGCCAATTTAAAATGAAAAATGTAAACAGTTTTTCAGGGAGGATGAATGGACTTCTGATGTGTAAGATTAGAAGTAGCAGGAATCAAAAAAGCCAGTGAACTAGAGAGTTCTACTTCACGCAAAATGTGTCAGCTAAACACACAAAAATACAGGAGATGGAACTTCAGTACCTTTCTGCCTGTCCACAGGGGTTTTATCCAGTGTTATCTAACAGAGAAGGTCAGAACTAACCTTCTGTCATAGAAATCCAGCATTAAATACAGAGTGTTTACTGGAAATACTTTATCAGCTAGCTCAGTAGAAAACAGAAGATAGCAACCAGGTCTCTGAATTCTAAGGGGCAGAAGCCAGAAAATTAGTTTAGTCTGCTAATACATGAATATGAAAGCCAGTGCATGAAGAGGATGATTTGCTGTTACTGGATGTCCCCAGGGCACAGGCCTCATCTGGTACGTTCCCTCCTGGCGCATGTGTGAAGCCTTACAACTATCATTGGGAAACTGCAGAAGGCCAAAGAGAATGTGGCCCTTTCTCCAACCCCCAAAATCCTGACTTGAACATCTGCAGTTAACTAAATTACTTCTGTATAACAGCATGGGAATCTCCCTATTATGGAGAACTGAACTGGCAGGAGAATACAGTGTAAAACAACAAAAAAAAATCATGAATGCTAGAACATCAAGGTAACAACAACCTGAGGAAATGTAGCTCTTTCTCAATGCATATATATCATTCCATTACAGGGATTCACAAGTGCTAAGGCAGTTATATCTCAGTTGTGTCTACAGAAGGATTCAACTCCTGAAAGGTTCAGTCACTGCTGACTGATGTCAGGCCATCACTCTTGGCAAGCACTTAAAGCAAAGATAAGCTACAAAAATCAGTGAAGAACCCTCAGTATTTCAACAGCGACCTCCAGTTCCTAGAGAAAAGCCAACATTGAACTTCATCTTGGTATCCCCTAGGTGCTTTAAATCAAAATGAAGCATTGTTAAGAGCTGGAGATACAATCCTAACCAAGAGCACCTCCAGACTGATGCTACAGACCCCACAGTAGAGCACTGCAGGGAACAGTTATGTGCCTGACACTGAACATCCTTACAAACGATCAAGTTCACATGCAAGTAAAAAAACTCTTAAGTGATCTTTGAAGCAAAGGCCATGGGATCAACTCATTATCAACACTGTAACATCTGCACCAATTAAGGGAAAATAAACTACATTTTGTGAGTAACTAGAATAGAGTCACAATCTGATGACTTAAGTGACTGCACAGTATTTGTACACTTCCAAGCAATTACTTCAAGAGACTTCCCTCTAGGCACTTATTTTTTTAAGTTACTAGTCACTGTAAAATTTACTTCTTGGATCTCTAAAGCTTTATTAAAAACAAGGAAGTCTTGTTTGGTAAACAAACTGTGGATTCCAAAAACAAGGACTAAATCTTCTGAATCCTGGATCAAATGTGTGTTTCATGACAAGAAATAAGGCTCCAACAGAACATATAACCTTTCTTTGGCACCTTTAGAGAGAGCATCATTAAAAAAATACTTACTATGTAAAAATTCTTCCATGGAAATGAATTACTGTTTTGATGAGCCAAGATTTTTGTGACATATTTGTATCAATGAGCTCTAAAATCTGAAAATTAAACAGAACTGGACAGATGTGTTTAGTGGTACAGACTGGAGCAGAAGTGTGACAATCTACAGCAGATGACGCCCTTCAAAAATAGGCTGAGCTCTTCATGTATCCAACAAATTGTATACCTTTTTTGACACTTACTGGTAAAACAATCCCCCATTGCTGGTATAGTAAACAAGTTTTTTAAAACAGAACCTCTTAAAATTATATTTGTGTATATTTTTCTACCTAGCAGAAGGTGGAAGGTCACTTGAGGAAACTCGCAACCAAGACACAGTACATGGACTCTCCTTTTACAACAATTTCAAAGCAGTTTAAAACCAGAACAGACTCCAACTGATCACTAGAACCATCTTTAAACAGATTTACATATTACACATGGATTATTTACTGACTACATTGCTCACTTGGTAATATCCTTGAATGATTAAAGGGAAAAAAATACCAACAAAACAAAGAAAACCCCCAAATTACTACAAATCAGATAAAAAACCCAAACAGCTCAAGGATATTTTACATACATAAAGACCTCAGTCCTACAGAAGCAATAAGCCATAGCTTGCACTCCTATCAATGACAGAGGCTGTATTTTCAACATTTGAGGAATTTGGCTTTTATAATATTTGGAAGGAATCCTAAGAAGGTGAGAGGGGAAACAAAAATTTATCTCCCTGAAGTTGAGGAGAAAATAGTATTTCATCTCAACTTGCGATATTGCCAAGGAGTTCCTAATTTTCATACAGACAACAGAAAAGGTCAAAGAAGCAAGAGAGAAGTTTTCAATGGTCTTGTAATGCAAGTAGTCAAGTAGCATTCCCTTTTTCTACAGCCAAAAACATACCATAAACCCAAGTATATTGCTTACTATGTGCAAGAAAAATGTTAGGATGAGAACAAATAGTTATTAAATGAATGGTCCAAATTTTATTTTAAAAAGTTATACCCAAGCACTAAAATGACACATAAGTAAAATACCTTATAAAAGTAGAGAATACTGATTGCAAAAAACTTTAAACTAGACAAACTGTCTTGGAATTGAAATGAAATACACATAGATTTAAATAAACAGATTTGAATCCACAGCGCAAAAGTGCTGTCAGTATGTGGCAAAATGTTTTTTACTTTGTAACTAGTGTATCTTTAAAGTTTATGTAACCCATAAATTAAAGGTGAAATTTTCCCTTTAGTAGAAGTACGTTGGCTTTCCATCTATGTTAGTAACTGGAGTTTATACAGTAGGTTGTGCATCAGAAATCACCATTTTGTCCTGTAACAGGATTTATATTAAGAATGGAAGCGCAGAGTAAAGTTGTTATTTCACCTGTTTTTACCTGACCAAACCACAAAATTTCATTCTGTGACTTGACAAAAAAGAGTAGTATATTAACTGAGGCACTTGCAGGCAAATGTAACGAGTTCGGAAGAACATTCCCTCCATGTGATAGGTATGTTAGCAAAGTACATGGCTAAAAAAAGTGTTACACAGCATCTGTAGAAAATGGTATAAGAATGCACTCTTCCATTCTGTGATCTTTGCTAGGATGAAAATGATGACTTCATGCATACTAGGTTTCAGACTCACAGACGAAGGATGTGAAAAATTTCTTCTCACAGAACGTGACTTCAATGCCTAAAGAGAGGGAAAAATACTTTGTTGTTTCTATTTCAAAGTGTGTCCCATTTACTAAATTAATAATGCTTCAATGAAAAGTTACAGTCCAGTGTGATATTGCATCAGCTAAACAAACTTGGTTCAAAAAGGGAAAACAAATTTCCATTATGCACCTTGATGAAGTACATAGTGGCAGGAAATATCTTCTTTTACTTACAAGTATGGAATCTTAGAATGAGTTCAGAATTCTTTTATTAAAAAAATAACCCAGTTTTGTTCATTGATCATACAGCCTCACTAAAGTTTGTCAAGTTATTAAAGCAACTGTATTCTCTGTCTAATTAGATGGGGAAAATGTTTACAAAATGTCACAGTACAAAACTATTTAACCAATTCTTTTTTTTTTTTACATTAGCATTCTCTTTAACATAGATTAGAGCAATGCATTACTATAGGTATTTATAATAATACTTACAGGAAGGTTTTAGTAGCTAACACATTTATAAAATCTGAGCTAAAGAACTGAAAGCTGCCTAATTTGTAAACAGGCAATTGACAAACAGGCAATGGACTGTGCCTAAGTAATTTGTTAGTGCATGCCACTGACAAAAAGCAAGTGGCAGAAAACACAGCTACTGTTTAGGTTCTGGCACAAACACTTCTTAGAATACTTGTACTCTTCTGTTTATTCTTACAAAGATAAAGTTTTCCTACACTCTCCCTTTTTATCTCAGCTGCTCTATAGCCCCAGTGTGCAACTCCCACCTCTTTTACTCTCTCCATTTAACTGCTCCATATGACAGCCTCAAACTGTTTGGTTTCTAACCTTCTTACTAGCTCAGGCCTTTTCAGCACTAACTTCTTTGTTTTGTTAAATGTAACTTTTTACCCTCCTTTCTGGCTCTGACAGTTTCCTAATGCAACCAGCTGTAGTTCATACACCTCCATCCAGATATTCAGCCCACTATAATCTCCAGATGGCAGCTTCTTTCCATCATCTACTGGCTCTGCACCATGTTGTGCATTGCTTTCCAAAATTTCAAGGTTCCATGGTCATTAGTTTTCATTACATCAACCTTACAGAACTTCAATCCCAAAGAACTTCTCTTTTTCTTTAGTTTGGTTCCTATATTAGTATATGTAAAACACTAACACATTTTCTCTTTCTCTACTGAGAAAACTGTCTTCAGTTTTGCACTGGCAAACTTCTAGTATTTGTTTAGAAGCCATAGCTGGGGATAAATCATGCAGGCACCTACACAGACAAGAAGTCACACCTTAACAAATAGTAAGGCCCTGCTACAAATTAGTGGGCTGTTGAAAGTATCAAATAATAAATTACAATAACTTTACCATGTGCAAAATATGCATTCCTCCCTAGCTTCCTTTTATTAAAACCCTGATGTTTTTCAAAGTGTAAACAACTAAGAGAGGCAGCTTTTTCACAGTAAAAGCATGACTAAACACCTGCCAGAGTACAACCCCATGAATACAAGCTATTGTAAATAGCATAAAATAGGGAGAAAAGGGGAAGAAATTGAGCTGTCAATGCAGAAATTAAAACAGTTTTCAGAAACCAAAAATCATGTTGGAAATATTGAAAATTTCCTTCCCTGTTGAAGGAAAACAATCTAAACACATAAAACTTGGGCACTTAAACTAAAAATAAAATGATGGTATTTATATCTACATTATTACCCAGGAATGAATTACACTGATTATACAGAATTTGTTTTATGAAGAGAATTATTAGGCAACTGACAAACTTCAGGAAGCAGCTCAGTAGTGCTGCAGACTATGCTAGATCTGAGCATGTTTAATTATGCACCAATTCATAAATAGCAACCATTGCAATGAAACAACTGACCCCAAGTTTTCCACAACTCGCAGCTGCTAGCTGGTATGTTGATGATGGATCTCAGCCACACAGGAAGGACTGGACAAGAAAAAAAATAATAAATCAATATAGATAGACTAGAGCTGCCCACATGCTTCAACAGTGAATGATCCACAGGTTGTCAAGTAAAGAGAGAGAACATACAAATCAGAGAAAACAAAAGAACAAACCCATTAAACTGAAGTGAGAACAAACTGTTAGAATAGAAAAAAGAGTTTGTAAAGAGAACACAGAATTAAACAATGTGAGAAAAAGCATTCCACCTCCACCTTTCCATGTTCATATCAAATTAGCAAATACAGTTTTGGTGGAGCTTGCCTGTTTTACAGGCAACAGACCTTGCTACAGCCAGTGACAAGCCTCTTGGCAATCCAATGATGACAACTGGAAGTTTATATTCACATTTCGTAGACTAACATAACTTTAAGCAAGAGGTTTATTCTGTTTCACTGCATGTGAATGAAAAAATACTTACCTATAGAGCAAATATGTGGTACTATTTATTGTTTCAGATGGAATATCTGACAATAGCATGCAGTACCAGTATATAATTACTGAACTTTTCCCCCAAGTGGTTACATCAAAACTCTTAGAAAAAACATGTTTATCTACCTGCATGTGTATATACACAAACATTTATAAACACACATGTATTTCTGTGTATTATACACACAGAGAACACAAGTCTTACCTTATTACTCTTAACTGCAGAGAAAACCAGAGTGCACTAAGTTCAGTTAAAGTTACAGAATGCTCACTACCAGAAGGCCATGGTGCCAAAGGCCATCATTCACCATTAAGATCTGAATTCAAATATACACGAACTACAACACAAACGACACTATGATCTGGCACTGCTGATGTCAGCCAAGACATTCTGTTGGACACAGACTATGGGAACAGCAGCAACTCTGACAGACTAGAACCATGCCCACCCCCCAACAGGTACACTGCAGCTCAAAGGGATGAATAATAAGAAAAAAGCCAAAAGCATGAAACAAAGTAAACCCCACCCATCTGCCCACCTCCACAGGGCAGAACCTTTTGTACTCTGCTCACTATTTGCAGACTGCAACTGTGTTGCTCAGCCCCTCAGGCTTCAGGGTCTGCCTCATACACCTTTACCAGGTCAGAGCCTCAGAACAAGATAATCACCCAGAAAAAACAAAATTTAACTCCCAGGTATTTCTTCCAGGTCTGAAACCAACAAAACCACACATTTCAATTTTCCCCTCAAGTTTCCCCTGTTACTGTAGACTACACAGGTTTTACTACCAAACACCATCTCGTACATATCCCTCTAGGAGCATCCAAACATTAATCTCCATATTGGAGGGTGATATAGAATCTGAAACATCCAAACAGAGATGAAAAAACCTCACACTTCCTAAAAAAAAAAAGTGTCACCTGGCAGCCTTTGAGAACAAACATTAACCTTATCCACTTGTGTAGATGTGAATATATGAAGTCATTTCCACATGCTTGTGAACAAAACATGCTATAAATTGCCAAAAGAAATTAGCTTAAGTAAAACACAAATGGTCACTGGCAAACACATGGAGGAGAGTAGTATTTTTGATTCAAAATTGATCTTAAATACTGAATTTGAATCTATAAGATTTTCTTCTAAATTTCCTTTAGCACTATTAAAAATTTTTTACTAAAAATAGCATTTTTTTTGATGTAACTCAAGTGGTAAAACAGAGAATGAAAAACTAGGAATTGCCAGAACTGAAGGTTCCTTTGTTAACTGCTACATGGTTTACACAACAAATGGACCGAGTTCTTTTTATACACTTGTACAGCACTGGAAACACTGACTTCAAAATTTGTGATTTTCTTCAATTGGTATTTCATCCATTTTGCTTGCTCACTCGTGATTTTTTTTAATTGTGACTGCAATGCATGCTCTATTTTGAGCTGCATTTGAAAGCTGTAAGAAGTCTACAACTGCCAATGATACCTGGATGCTGGCTGCAACCCATCCTACTCTCACCATATGACTTACCCAGTATAAAGTGCATATTTATTCCCAGTGCAATTCCTAATGCAGCAGAGGCAATCAGCAGATTACCTTCAAGGTGAAGTCACTCCTTTAGGCTCCTGCTTTCTCCTCTGTGGCCACTATTTGGCAGTTTTCAAGCAGCAGATACATTTGTTGGGGTATTTTAAGAAAACTACAGTTACCAGGCAGTCTTCTTATACAGCTGGGGAGTAATGACACAACCACCTGCTTCATACAGAGCAGTCTGCTGACAGCATTTGCTTTTTTCCATCATTGCTGAGAGCTCCACCACACTGACAGACAATACAAGCTGATCACATTCATTACATGTGAGATATATCCAAATTCCAAGTGGGTATGTGAAAATGTAACTTGAAACTTTCAAAGGAAGAGTTGTATTTTAGAACTACTAACTATTATCTGGCATCATCTTGTAATGAATAATAATAAAAAAAGAATTCAGTAAGTCTTTGTAAGGGTTAACTGTATCTGTGAATCTACTTGAGACCTGAACAGAGTTTCAATTGTAGATAACAAGATTTCTGAGAAAAACAGGAAAAATGAGCAGGAAATACAGCGCAGTTTATTCCAAGACGACACTTATGTTACAGCCCCCTCTGCTGGAAATATTTAGTATATATTGTTACACAAGAGTCTGAAAAAAATTCTTCCAGAAAAAGTAAAATAAATTAAAAATACATTAAAAAGTTAGCCTATAACATGGCTTTTATTCCACTCCTATTTAGTCTGCCACTTGCAGCTGAGTAAGCGCTGTAATATCAACTACTGATAACTTTAGATCTTTGTTATCAGGCAAATCAGTATGGAGATTATTTTAGAGTGAACAGCCTTATTAATTTAGATAAAAGGACCTTAAACTGGGAGCCAAAAACATCCAACAACCTGCATCAGGTGACATGGAATAATCATATTTTAAAGTGGCCTTTCTAAATCAGAACTGCACAGAAAAACACCTAGAGGTGACCAACTGGGACAGTTTTTCATGTTCCAGGTTTCAAATTGCCACCTCTCCTTAACATGAGGTTCAATAGAAGGCTGAAAGGAATTCAATGTCCAGATGCAGAGACAAGAGACAAAGATTTGTAACCAATATTTCAAAGAACTGAATGAGGCTCAACATTTTTTCTCAAAATATGTTTTTCATTTGTATTTTCTTTGTATCTCAATCTTAAAATAACTAGCCATGCTCTTATTTTTTAGTTTCCCCAAACAGTTCCAAAGTAACTTGTACGTCCTCTGTAACAAAGCTTCAGGTGAAGAAAAAAATCTCTTTGTCTGCAATGCTTCCAATTTTCCTTATCATTAATAAAAGACTTTTTCACCCACACCTCTCTTCTCTTACTGTTCCCCCTTCAAGAAAGGGGACAGTAATACTGCAAAATGCTTGCTTTAACTCTCTTGGTCTGATACTCACAGCTGCAGGCATGGCTATGTGACTCTGGGCATAAGGCTGGTGATGTAGTGTTTGAACTCCATGATCAGAATACAGCTGCTATAAAAAAAAAAATTAGCAGAAAAACCTGTTTCATAATCTTACTTTTTTGCAAGCCTTTCACATGCATTTAGAATCCTTAAAAATGTCAAATTTTGGGCCACGTTTATCTGAACTACTGACTTTTTAAAAACCACAATTTAAATATTTAAGTCTACGTTTTCCCCACTGCACCAAAGCTTGCTAAACTTCATTTATCTTGATCTGTGTCACAAATCACTTTCCTTGACAGAAGTAGCAGCTTCTCTACTACACATCCATTTCACTCAGCTCTAACTGGAACAGTGTTTCAATGTGTCAATTCACACACCGAAGTGTAATTCTCAGCATTATCAGACTTACAAGATATTTACATACAAATAATACAGATTACTCTTGGAATTTTACACCATTCTTCTGAAATTCCACACGCTGGTTCCTTTAACAAGAACAAACTGCCTACCTGTAAACCAAGAGCCCATTATATCCAAGTATTCCTTAACTAATTCTATTTTCTTAGAGCTCACATATTTCAAATTTCTCCATACAAGTTTATATCTGATTCATGAAATACTAAAGGTAAAATAGCAGTATTGTAAATAATATTATAATTATAGAATAAATACCAAGATTTATGCACTTTCAAAAACAAAACCCCAACAATCCATGTCTTGTATTAATTCTGTGTCTTTGTAGGGAAATTAAATTACTTTGGTAGGCCAGAATTTTCCACTTAAGATATCTGAAACATCGGTTTTGGAACTTCTCTTGGCAACAAAATACACGTTAACTTTTGAAACAATATTTGATTATTGTCCTAATTTAACATCTGTTTTGGAATCCCTATTCATAAGGAATGAATATTTAAGAGAAGTACCAATTAATATAGAATAAAAAAATGTAAGATTAAATTTTTCTGTAGCCTTTTACTGTCATTTTTAATATCCAATTATGAAGAGATTTCCTTATTGTACATCAAGAATCTCTTGACTAATACTATAAATGCTACTGATACAGAAGCAAAAAAAAAATTGTAAACAATTCAATCATTCAACCACTCATAATTCATTTGGATCATTGCAATATTTAGAAACAAGCTTCTATTTGCACAGAAGAATCACTTCAGGAAACTACTATGGTTTGGGTATATTAACCCAGCATTCCAAAGAATCTGATTCCCATTTTACTTGAACATTACTTACAAATGAAACCAATTGACTAGCCCTTATACTGCTGTCTGTAATACACTTCTGACCCTCAAAAATATTTCAGAATCAAAGCATCCTCTGAGAAAAATGGAAGAGAAACTCTTACTTGAGGACACCTGAAATTACTTAACAGCAGCATGGGTAGAGGAACAATTGACCTCAGTGCTCTGAACAGCCAGTGCTTAAATTATAACATTATGTTTTTCAATTGCAGACAAACACTTCAATTGTCAGTACTTTTTTTTTTTTTACTTTTTAAAAATACCTCAGGAACTGCAGCTTCCATTAGCAGAGGTGGAGATATACATCCACCTTCCTGGGTAATTCCTATTGGCTGATAAAAGACTTCAGATGGTTGCAGATATAAGAGTGGAGGTGAAGAGGTAGGAGACTGAAATAAAGCACATTATTTTAATAAATTACATTATTTAGGCACTGTAAAGACCAAAATTTATTTTACAATCTTCGTTGCTACATATAAATGGAGACACAGCTTTAGAACAAAGTGTCAAATTCATCTTTGATAACAAAAGAAGAAGTGAGTGGGAAGTGGGTAGGAAGGTCAGGTAAGAGGAGGGAAAAAACCCAAAACATTCTTTAGTAATTTTTATATAGTTTTCAGATTTTATTTGTATTTTGGAGAGCATTGCTAGACAAATCATAAAACTTGTAAAATTGACACTTAGTCTCAAGATCACAACAACATACTACAGTTAAAATCTTCCCTTGCAAAAAAGTTACAGTAGCAAAACAAGTATTTTTTTTTTTAAATACCCTCCCAGTATTTCTATAACTCAGCACTTCAATTTCAAAGCAGCAGATTGATCTGTTAGAGTGGAACCTGTCCATAACTGGACAAGGCTGGCTGCTACTAAAGTCATGAGGCCACACTGCAATCAGTTCAATCTTAAAGGACTCAACCTTTCAGCTTCAAACTCTTCAAGTTCCTTGAGTGTCAAGATTCCCATTTGAAGCTGCTCTGCTACAGAGATCACAAAACCAATACACTCTCCCCCCAAAATGACCAAGTCACCAATTTCAAGTTCCTCATATTTCAAAGTCTGGGTCTAACTTCACCTTACTTAAGCGTCTACATGATTCTCCTAACAATACTTCTTAGAAACATCACAGTATCAGTTAATTAGCTACTTAATACTCATTTCTCAGCAGAATTTGACAGTTTTCACCTGCTTCTGACAACTTCTTAGGTAATTTATTACAAACTTTTTGCCAAAGTGAGAGGCAAGGGTAAGATACTTTCTTTACATCAAATTTGTATTTGATGTTGCAATAGATGCTATTTTATGCCTTCTGCTGTATCAGCAGATCTTGTAAATACACTGCTAAAACATAGCAATTAATACTCATTTCAACTAAGCTGAGAATAGTGGGAAGTGTCACAGTTAGATAAGTGCACCATACCTTTGAACGAGGTGAAATGTAATATTAAAATGCTGCAACTATGAACTGTATTTACCTGTAGAACAGACCATTGCCACTGACTTGAAAAACATTGTGTTGGTGCCTAAAATCAAACGAAAAGATGTTACCAATGTGATTAAGAACATATGCATACACACTGAATACCAGAATTCCTAACATACTAAACCACAATCATCTCAAATCTATAATTATTTCTAATAAACTAAAAAGAAGAGAAAAATTTTCATTAAGTTCCAAAAAGTTCAGGAACATGGTTTTATTTTTATTCACTCAGCCTCTGACTTGGCCATTTCATAAGCTTCAAAAATACTTAAATCAGATTCTCAGCAGACGTGTTCAGACCACAAGAATCAATGGACCCTAGTGGGAACACTGAAAATGTTGTAGTTATAAGGAAAAAAATCTTTTTTGCTATGAGAGAGGGGTCAATTATTGGAAGAGGCTATCCAGAAAGGTCATGGAATCTCCATCACTGGAGCTGTTTAAAATCCAACTGAAAAGTACCCAAAAAAACTGATCTAACCAATCCTGCTCCAGCAGGAGTTTGGCTTAGATGATAAAAGGTTGGTACTAAGCCAGTTGTCTTGCAACACAAAAGAAAACTGTAATATATTATATTATCATGGCATTACATAAGGAGGATAAACTGTTGTTTAAAGAAAGCAGTCAATGAAATTAAAACAAACAGCTGTGACAGTGTTGCAAACAGTACTGCATGGCTGGAGGAACAGTGTTTGTCTGAAAGCCATTTTTAAACAGATACCTGATAATGATACGTAGGAGACTGATAAACTGGAGGCGCCACCATCACAGGGGAACTGGAAACTGAGCGCGACTTCAAAAATAAAAAGTTACAAGTCTTAATGCAGCAATCTCATAAATTGTCACTCCTATTAAGCACAGTTCCAGAGCATTATAATGCTGAACCACCTCCCCTCCCTTTTGAAAATGCATTTACCAAGTTAACTTACACTTAAGATTACTCAAAATCACTGTTTCTAGGAGCCTATGTTAGATGAAATAAAAATCCCTGGCATATTCACCGAGTTCTTTCCAGAAAGCACTAGCCCATCACTGTCTAGAGACAGTAAAACAGAACTTCTCCTGGGGTAAGGCCCAGACTGATACAGACTACTCTGTCCAACAGGTCAGACCAAAGCAAGAGTCCACTGCAGAAGCAAAATAAACTGAAGTGATATAAAAAGTACAAAATAAACAGTCTAACATAAGGAAGCCATTTAAACATCTAACGTGAGGCACAGCTGAAGAAACAAGTATGAGGGACTTAAACACTGCACTCATTCTGGTCCACAGAAAAAGCATATACACCAAAATGAATTACTTACTGGCCATGGCTGCTGAACAGGAGAAACTTCAGATGTATGAAAATAAGCCACTCCATTATGATAAACATATGGATATCCACTCGATGTAGTTAAGTACATTGTACCAGCTTCTGGTGATACAGCAGTAGTTGTGTACATTGTACCAGCTTGTGGTGTTACAGCAGAACCTGGAATAGACATTTTAAAGCTTACTCACAAATAACTTAACTTATTTTTTAGATGAAAAAAATAAGGCAAGATCATTTCTAATCTTCAGAGAAAGAAAGATTCCAAGGAAAGAACATGGAGCAGTGTGCCCAGTGCCATCTCAATTCCCTCTCAAACACAAAACCACAAAGGCAGATGGTCAGAGGATGTCTCCAGAGGTAGATGGGAAGAGCTGCAAAAGATGACAGGCATATAAATTAACAAACACAGGTAACTCCAGGTACCTACAAATACATATATTTTTCATCTCCAAATGTCCAAAGGTAATTTGACATTATAGGAGATTTTAATGGGTAACCTGCACATCCTCATATCTAGCTGAAACAGAATTCAAGCACTAAAACTAACAATTGTTTCATTACAAGGTGCTGTCTGGTTTCTCAGCAAAGACTGTCAAAAGTAAAAACTGGGTTTATAGACATCAGCAACAGGGACATTTCTCAGCAATGCTGTCACTGTGACAGAGCCTACAAGTCAGCATGGTCTGATCTCAAAGGAGAGTTCCACCTGCACTGCCCTCTGGTGCTGACAGCAGGTGCTATTCAAATAAAGGGATCTCCACCCTAAGCACAGATTGTCTCTCCCCTTCAAACACTGCCTCTGACATCGACTAAACTCTAATCCTCTCTACATTTTAGGGGGGGCTAGGACAGGACTTTCTTTTTCCAAAACTCTGTGTCAAACATGAAGACAAATTTCAGTTTCAAATATAACGAGACTTCTGTAGGGGAAAAAAAGAGGAAAATTAATTCTGTAACTGAAATGGAAGTCTTGAAATCACAAAGTAGTAACATGGTACAGAAAAAAAAAATCAGGAGGAACACAATATAAAGAAAAATCACCAAACAATTTTCAGTTTTCCATCTCGCCTTGCAAAGGTGTGCCACCATGAAGTGCCATTTTATGGACAGACAGAACACTGCAGAGGTCACCACTATGCTCAGTGGAAGACCAAGAAGGCCCACAGTGATTCAAGAGCTTTTACTGATAGTAAGAGTTTGCCTAATACCTAGAAAAGCCTGAAGACACTTGGATTCTCATGGCTGGGCTTCGCGAACAAAGATTTGGGAAGGGCTCTACCCACTTTTCTTGCAAGCGCGTTGGTGGCTAAAAAGGCCAATACGAGAAAGGCAAGTCCGGTTGCAAAAGACACAGCAGAAAGACTCCTTAGATGGTAAAGGATACAATACAGCTGAAATGCTATCCACAGACAGGTCAGGCTAAGGTGCTTGTTAGGATAATGTTAAGCACACCTTAGGAAACAAAGGCTGTTCCAGCTCCAGCAAGCAATCTAGAACAGCAGTTACTGACATCTCAAATGAGATAACAGGATCCCATTGACAACAATCCTGTCCACTTCACTAACTACAGAGTACAATGCACAAACTTTCTGCTGATGTTGAGCAAGTCTCTGGTAAAGGAAAAGGAAATCTCCATCCATCCCAGCAAACTCACTGTGATGGAAAAATACATTATGATGCTGGGGAAGAGCAAACCAAGTGGCCCTCCCAGTATGTTCAAAGCACCTACCACAAAATGTCCTATGACAACAGAAGAGCTAAAACTCATTTTGCTTAATAGTATGGAAGACAGGCACTAGATTATATGTGGGCTGTAGAGGACAGCAATATATTGGCCAGCCCTATAATTCTGCCCAATATAACAGAACCACAGCTCTACAGTGGTATTGCAAGTCTAGGTGTTCTGGCTTCATGTCCCCCAAGATAAGTTGCAATAGGACAAAGTATCCTGGCAACTAAGGTTAGACAGGTTGAGCATGAGAGCAGACACACTGAAATCAAACCCTAGGATACATCCTGGATGTCAATATGATCTTGTATCACAGAACTGTCCTAGGCATGAGAGGGTAGAGGTAGCTGAACAGGTCCACAAACACATCTCAAAAGGACACAGCAGCTTTCTTCAAGATTTTTTTTAACCCCTGTTCCCTCATGTCTCAGAATTAAAACACAGAGATGTCTCTTTTCTATCAACTTACACATTCAGCACAAGAGTCAGACAAAGGAAGCACCACAAGTTGGGCAACACAACTGAGAAAGTACAAGTCAAAGATGGAAAGGGAAATAAAGCACAGGGAAAAAAAAAACAAAGGCATATAACCTCGATGATGACTGAGCAAAGATCACACTGAATAATTTATAGAGCAAAGAAGCCATACAGTTGGAACAAAGGATTTGCTTTCTCCTGGGGAAACAATATCTTGCACACCTTCACAAGGGAAAAGGGCATACCTAGGCACAAGGGGAGGAAGGAAGCAGCAAACTTCCTGTCTTCAGCAGGTACATCTGCACCAACAGCATTAATGTACACATGAACTACTTCTAACAGGTAACATGATGGAAACCAAAGAAAGCATCAGAATTGAACCAACATTCTTTTGTATTGTCCTCCAACTGAAGATGAGCAAAAGGTTGGGCTTTTTCCTAACTCTTCCAAAAGGTACCACAGAACAAATACTGAAGCAAAGTTACAAAGTAGACTTCATTGCCTGCTGCATTTACAGAAGAAATCTATTTCACATCTGACACACAGCCCTTACTGAGGACCAACTCACAGATCTTGTCTTAAAGTTAGTGATTTATACATTTTCAGGATCCATTCAGTATCTTACAGCAAACAACTCAAAAACAGGATGGTGACTGTAACCACCCATTCCTTATGATTCTAACAAAGAAAGCAAGATGCAACTGTCCTGATGGATTTTGGCAACATAAATAAATCAATAAGTAACAGTGCAACTAACCAGCACAGCCTGATTTATCCCACAGAACCTGTGAGGACAGTCTAGAAGTTTAGATTTAAGGTTCTGCCAGGCAATCTGAATTTCCACTGTTCTTAGATAAGTAACCTTTTCCAATAAAGTAAACAAACAACATATTAAGAGAGATAAAAGAACCAAAAGACCATAAATCTATTTAACTGGACATTTCCACTGGCATGCATTTACCTCCACTGCAAACCACTCCGAGCATATTCCATTCACAGCATTAATCCCACGCCAGAGACCAGGTACATCTCAGTTAAAAACATATATTCATAATGACACATAATACACAAATACAAGTAAAGATACATACGAGTATTAGGACTTCGTAGTTGTTGTTTTCGTATTGCTGGACCAATATTCAGTTTCTTATCCTTATAATTGAGTTTTTTAGCCTAGAAGTAAAGAAAAACATTATTTTCTGCATAGATCTAGGCATCTGAGAAACGAAAATCACTTACTAGATTTCATCCTCCCTTGCTATTTATTTACAATGCACTGCAAAAACCCACACACAAGCTACACTAGTTCCTTTTCCATCCTAACTGTAGACTGCACATACACAAAGTTATTCATTAGTCATTTCAAGCATTACTTACTCTTCATGGAGCCACTTGATTTGCAACTGGCACCAATACTTTTCAGCAGATTGTTTTCCATTTTAGCTCTCATGCATTTACTGCACATGTGTACATAAATGGACAATTTGAAATATAAAGACTAAATTTTTTTTTGTGATCATGACAATATTTTACAAGAGACAGGAACAAGAAAGTCTATGAAAGTGACCAGATTATAAGGACTGAATGTAACATGCCCATATTCACCCACAACTGCCTTAGAACTTCCCACCTTTTAGATTTAAAGCAAGGAAGAGGCTAAACTATTTTGTTCAATTTGGGACTTCATAAACTAATATTAATTATGGCAAACATACCTATGCTTATTAAAGCAGAGAACCTATTAAAACACAGAGCAACTCCTAGAAAACAGATGTACATTTCAGTCAAACTGCATTCCAACACAAACAACATGAAGATGATTCTTCCCAACGCAGTGCTTCACTGATGTGATCTACCAGAGGTTAGAAATATTTTTTATGCACAACTTTCACAGTTGAGACAAATATCTGTAATAATAATTTGTAATAACCTGTATAGATTTCTCCAAAGCAAGAATACAGCAATGCATGCAAAATTACAGATGATGTTACAGAAAGTGAAGACTAGGAGGAGAAACTGTAATGAATTTAAAAAAAAAAATCACTTCAGAAAGCTAGAAAGAAGAAACACTAGTATTAATAGGGTATGACCAGAAAGAGGAAGCTGGTGAAACTCCTCAAGGTCTGTTCTCAATACTAACACAATTTAGTACTTTAGAAGACTGCAACACAGAAAAAAAAATTTCTGGAGACATTACTCACAACAGAAAAGTAGGATACAACAAAACCCCCAAAATCAGTCCAAAGAATGATCAGAATATCATACAAAAAATTCAAGAGTACAAAATGAAAAACTAGAAACTCTCAGCTTAAGATGTAGAGAGACCTAGATGCTATAAGTTGACTGTGAAATAGCAGAAATATGCAAAGATGAAAGAGGTGATAGAACTGCAGAACATTTCAACTAAAGGACAGAGTAGGCAAAGTAAGGCATCAGTAAGACTTCACATGGAGCAGCCCTTCAGTTACAGGGGTAAATATATTAAACCATTTTCACAATGGTACTCAGTGCCATTAGTGTTTAGTTGACAGAAATAAAGCAATAAAAACAAGAGAGGAAGAAAAACAGCTGACTCAAGAAGTTCCTGTCTGTGGCTCCACATAACTATTTCTTGAAAACACAGCGAAAATGCCTTTGAAAATGTCTCAGCTCTTATTTTGAATTTTAATACAAAAGTTTCCAGAGGTTCAGAATTTCAACACATTAACCAGCCTTATAAATTGTGAGAAGGTAATTTGCAAATCTTAGGTGCCATCTCCTCTGAGCCTTTTTTCCCCCCTCCATGTAGGAGCCCAAACCCAGCTTTCAGCAAAAGGAAGCTCGGTAAATCTGAAGCACAAACCTTGGAAGAAAAGGCTGGCAAGCATCTCGTGATTCAAGAAGTTTACACCCTTTCCTGAGACCTGTTCATGTGCAACCTGGAGATATAAACCTGGCTCCAAGAAGGATTAAGAAAGGACTTGTTGAGATGATTGTTAAAACCATGTCTAAACCCCTGTAGTCCCTCTATCTCCCATGTAATCCTACTAGAAGAAAAATTAACTCTTTGGAAACTGCAGTAAAAACTTGTGCAACTCCCCAATTAACATAGCTTGTCCCCTTCATTAACATGTCCAGCCCCAGATGCCTTTAAATTGTGTTCTTGTGTTCAATAAAGGCTTCCAGTTTTCCCAGACTGGGATCGTGTCTAGCTTTTATTTTTCAGATCACCACTAATGGCGCCCAACGTGGGGTTGAGGACCTTCTAACATTTAGAAGATTTGTCGGCCATCGGCTGGCTGGACCAAGGGAAGCAGCACTCCTCGTGTTTTGGTGGCGCGTGCGTAGTCAGAACTGAAAGAAGATGGAAGATGTGCACGGAAAATTGTCCTCGGCAGGTGGGAACTGCTGTAGTGAGCTGACTACAAACTCCGGATTGGGTAATTATTTTTAAAGACTTTGTAACATTATAAGTAGGGTACAATGGGGACTCAAATATCTTCAGGACAAAACCACATTTATTTAATCTTAAAACACGAGCTTAAGCAGCATAACACGAAAATCGACGAAGAGCCCTTGCAGAACCTGTTGCTGTGGGCCCAGCATCACATGTCAGAACTGAACGTTACCAACCTTCTTGATATGCGCTTGTGGGACTCGGCAACTGCCCAAAAAAACCTCAGCAGTCGCTGCCCTGGATGGGCCCCAGCTGCCGAGCGGAGCGCACGAGCACACTGCAGCCCGACCCACACTGCCCGGAGAGAGCCGTGTGAGACAGAGCCATGGCCACCGCCGCTGCAGCCACCCCGTGCAGGGTCAGGGTGCAGGCCAGCGCCAGCAAACTGCCGCGCTGCCTCGGTGAGTTCCTGTATCGCCGCCCGCTACCGCTCTCAGCAGCAGCAGCCAAGCGGCAGCCAGAGGCGCGGGGTCAACACCCTGGAGCAGGTCCCGGGGGAAGGACCAGCACCTCCGGCGCCCCAGCAAACGAGATCGAGAGACCCGCGCCGGCAGAAGCAGCAGCAGGACCCAAGGGGGGACCACTCAGAATGCAGGAAAAACCCGGAAACACACAAACGAAAGAGGCACAGGGAAAAACAAACACAAGCAGTGCACGAGGTATGCAAAAACCGGGGCTGTGGAGCGTGGGCGGCAGAGAGGATCCCACGGAGTCCCGGGGGACTCCGGGAAAGGTCCGAAGAAAGAAACAGCCCGAGCAGGACTGGCAGCAAAGGAGGGAGCGAGCGGAGACCCGGCGGCAACAGCACGAGAGAAACCCAGGAACAGAGTGACCCCAGAGAGAAACAGAGTGGGGCAGACACAAAGCTGCCAACTTCAGCAGTAGTCAAAGCAAAGCAGTAAAAACCCCTTCCTTGATTTTTTTCCTTTTTCTTTGCAGCCTGAACTAGGAACTGGTCTTTTTTTACAAACCCCTTTGGTTTATTAACCTGTTTCAGTTTCACAGTGTGAGTAAGGCAAACAAAACGCTACCAATGGAGAGATTGTCCCCCCTGCAAACAAACTAAACAAAAAAAAAGGGGGGGAAAAGCAAAGAACCTTTGCTGAATGATGACACCCTTCCATAGCTAATAGCCAAAATTGTTTTTAAATGTATGTGTAGCTGTATTTTTGAAAATTTTTAAGTTTTTGCAATAACAATTTTCCTTAAGTCCAAGAGCCAAATTAACACAAAAAGACATATTTGCCTTAAAAATAGAAAAAGTATATAATTTATCCTTGAACTATAGGAATGTTTACATGTATTTGAAATTTAAATTGAACATGAAGCAAAATATGCTTATGTTTTTACAGGTTATACTATCATCAAAACAGAAAACATATAGTTATATATGTTTATATATGGTTTATGGTAATATTTGTATTCCTTTGTATCTTGTCTTGCATTAGCAAACGTTTGATCAAAGTTTTTTCCAAGTTTTTTATTTTTTAGAAAAATAAAAAAAGAAGGGGCAGATGTAGGAGCCCAAACCCAGCTTTCAGCAATAGGAAGTTCAGTAAATCTGAATCACAAACCTTGGAAGAAAAGGCTGGCAAACATCTCGTGATTCAAGAAGTTTACACCCTTTCCTGAGACCTGTTCATGTGCAACCTGGAGATATAAACCTGGCTCCAAGAAGGATTAAGAAAGGACTTGTTGAGATGATTGTTAAAACCATATCTAAACCCCTGTAGTCCCTCTATCTCCCATGTAATCCTACTAGAAGAAAAATTAACTCTTTGGAAACTGCAGTAAAAACTTGTGCAACTCCCCAATTAACGTAGCTTGTCCCCTTCATTAACATGTCCAGCCCCAGATGCCTTTAAATTGTGTTCTTGTGTTCAATAAAGGCTTCCAGTTTTCCCAGACTGGGATCATGTCTAGCTTTTATTTGTCAGACCGTCACTCCTCCACCTGCATTTTCACATGAATGAATAAATCTTGAGTGACAGATCTCTCCAATACGCTCCAACCAGAACATGAAGCACACGTTTAAAAAGCCAAAATGAACTGAGGAGCTCACATACAGCTGAAGAGCTGAGCATGTCTCAAGGGAGACTCTACAAGGAGTGTCAACACAGTAGTGTAGCTTAGTGGAGAAGCAAAAGGTACATGACACGAGATTCATTATTTAGGACTTCAAGTGAACCTAACTGTCACTAAAAAGAATTACATTAGGTCTGACAAACAAACATGTCAGAATAAAAGATAGCAGTTATCTTCCCAACTCCCTGCAAAAAAAATCTTGACAAGAGTGGAATTTCTAGTAAAGCAAATGAAAGCAATTCTGAAGGATGAAGTTTTTATAACTCTATACTTACTGCAGACCACATACAGACCAAGAACAAAGACTGGATGTCAAAGTCAAGAACAGTACTATGAACTAGCACCTTCCTTCCCAGAAGATCTCAGTATAAATCTTATCTTGGATCTCTTTAAACCATTTTATTAACTATGACACCAAACTTACCAGATCTTCAAATGTAAGTTGGCAAACAGAGGATCACACAACCAGAGCTACTCGTGTCTAATGTGAAATGAATTATTTAAAAGAGAAACACAATGGGGACTATTGCTTACATCTTGTAAAATCTTCTGTGCCTCTTCCTGGGTTTCAAAAGTGACGAAGCCATACCTACATAAAAATTACAGATATTAAGCCTCTGAAGTTCATATTTACAAACACTGCACACTGCTAGTCAATATACAGTACAAGTGACATTACAAGGCAAATTAACAGGTAAAAAAACAATAGTAGAAGATTGCAGTAAGAACTGTATTCTTAACAGTTTTCTTATTATATTTAATTATATAGTAATATATCACTGTGAATAAGCAGCCCACATAGAAAGCTATCCTTGTTACTCAGCCTACGTCATAAGTTCCTTCATTGCTATTAAACAAACATTTTGATGTAAAGCTTTGACTTCTTGTGGGTGACCAAGATGAGAAACTTGGGATGTCTTTTTTAATCTTAAATTACTATTATACTGTAATTTATAGTACAGCTCCAACCTACTTCAGAAACAACTGTGAATGCTCCACACTTCCACATGCACTATTCACTGTTTCAAACTGAGTTTTTAGAAAAAGCAGCAATGCAGAGATAATGTTTATCTGGGAATTATTCTTGTAATTCTTAACATGATCAGCATTACAAAGTTCTGTGGTGATCACAGATGAAGCATTTCTCATTCTTTGTGACACAGTAGTCTTTCACCATACCTCTCCTAGCTGCTGCAGTAAATCAAACAGGCTTTCTACACACAACTCTTGCTTTTCCAAACCCCCTCAATTCATTCCCAGAGTAATCTAGGCCGCTGAATGTAACACTACTCATGCAAAGTAAGTATCTGATCATATATAATACATATGTAAAAAACAAAAATGCTCCCCCCACACCCCTTAATCTGAATTTCAAAATTTTTGAAAATTTTAGTATTTTCGTACACATAATTTTTTAGGGTCATGGTTCATTTCTCACAGTCAGATTACAGATGATATCAAGGTGGTCTCTGTCTTTCCTGCCATCAGATCAGATTTTGCAATACAAGTTCTTTTCTGTGAGCATTTCCATGCTTCTTTTTAGTATGGAGGTTCAGTAAAGTCTGACTAGCCATACATTTAAATTTGCAGGTTTTTCTTGTATTGTCTTCTCTAAACAAACCGGGACAATTCCATGTTCAAAGAACACAAACTATTTTCCTACTTGGGACCTTACCTATATAGATTTATCATTCTATGGACTGCCTAGACAATAAACTAATAAGACATAATCACATACACCCAAGTTTTTAAAATCACTTTTCAAAGAGAAGCAATGAAGCCTATGTTTGCATTTCAAAAGAAATCACTGTACCACGTAAAGTAATTATTTTCCAACATATTTACCATGAGACATATGTTGGCAATCAAAACTGCATAATTATTATGGGTTATATGGACACACATACTGCAAGTCTCATATTTCTTGGAATTGCATAAAAAACCAAGAGGCTTAGTGACAAGGACCAAGTCCCTCATGTCATGGAAGTGCTCGCTCTGTGCTAAGACCTGCAGCTCAGTGTGTACCCTGCTGATACATGTTAAGCTCTGACAGCATTGAGAGGCTCTGGCTCAGGAGAGAACTTCACAGGTACTCACAGTTCTCACCACATTCCTTTTTGCTTCAGCCCTCTCCCCACCCTTCTATGGCAGTGCACTTCCCCACCTTATCTGCATCTCCATCCTCTGGGTTCTAGCAATAGCCTTAATCCTTCCTTAATGCAACCTTAATCCTTCTTCAGATTCGCTCTTTGGCATTTCTCTTACTTTTGACTTCCACTCTTAGTCCCCCTTTATGTAATCATGATTCACTAACAGATTTGTCCCCTATGCTCTTGTTCCAAAAGTCTTGACAAAAAATCTCAGTTTCTGCCATGCACTTCAGCATAATCAGGTGTATCTCACCTCTTCCTTCATTTTTAGGCTTCTTTCCAAACTGCCTTTCAGTAATAAATACATTTAATAACTAAATAACCTTTTTAGGATTACCTACTTAAATAATTGTCATTAAAAAAAAAAAAACTAGAAAAATGAAAACTATTGATTTTGTCCTAGTTGCACGCAGCTTCATCTTCTACAAATATGACTATAGATTTAGTTATGCAAATTAGAGACATTTATATGGAAATATTAAAGGGCAAGAACAGATTTTTGCAAAGATAGATTAGCTGGTAAGATCAATGAGAAAAATTAATATTCTGAGCTATGAAAATCAATCAAATTTACTAGAGTCAGTCAGATTTCTGTTATATTTTTCAATTCCACAAAAAGCTTATTCTACTATACCAACCCCTTTGATACTCCAGCTCTGTCATTTATTATCTTCACTTCTCTCACACTGCCATACTGAGCAAAAAATGTCTTCAGGTCATTTTCATTAGTCTAGTACAGTAATTTAAGAGAGGAAAAAAAAGGAAGAGTTGGTTTGCATAGTTATTCAATGAATATTTACTATAAAACTTTTAAGGGACATACTTTGAATAAAGTTTGCTATAAACTAATTATAACCCTGGACGGGAAGAGAGAAGAGTGAACAAGTATAGCCTCACAGGCCATTTAATTACTGCATTTATTATTCATCAATAACACTAGAAAGTAATTAAAACTCCTCTTCAGTAGATTTATGTAACAACTGCCCTTTCACAGCTAAGGCCACTGAAGCAGGTTTACTAGATCTGAATTTTCATTTCTGTGTCTTACATTCTAGAGCAGTTTACAGTACTAAAAATCACTACCATATTTTCAAACTTCAAAACAGCAGAGTACATAGATTTCCAAAAGGATATACATGGGCCACATTTATTAAAAAAATTCCCATTAACCCCCAGTGATTTAGTGGTCAAATCCACTGAATACACCATGATCCCTCTTTCTGAAGTAGTTTTAACTTGAGACTGCAAAATATGTACAGGCACACCAAAGGAACTAACCACTATAAGTTAAATAAAAAAAAAAGTTGTTTCAATGGTGAATGGTCTAAAACTCGGAAGAAACTGCTCCCTTTTGAATACACATGGAGCAAGACAAGTTTCAAATGTACAGGCACACCTAAGCTACACCATCACTCATCTACCTTCTATGAATCTTACCTTGTAAATATGCATCACATATGGTGCCCTAAACACCACATTTGAGATTTTCATTTTTACACAGTCCTTACTTAATAGTATATCTAACACTGGAAGAAGTACAGTTATATACATGCATCTATCATTTATGCTGTTTCTTTAAAGTAGAAGTAAAGCAGTACTTCTGGTATAAGTGAATTACTTCCATTGTTTTAAATTGTATGTATGCAATTTAGTAGATCCTTTCCAGCACATCAAAGGTTTATCTGCCTCATCCAAGACTAAAATTCATCAGTGCTCCAAGTGTCATCCACAGACATGAGGGATTGCTATGCGAGACTATAAACTTGGAAAGACAAAAGTTTACATGCAGAGCAGTGACTGAAGGGAAATAAGAAGAAAACGCTGTTCTAAGATACAATGAAATCTGCAATTATGTGTACAAACATGATATTGAGAAGCTCACCAGAAACACCTTCAGGACTTGCCTTTTCCTGTTTTTAAGACAAAGGCATCTGTCACGTTCTTGAGAATGACATAGGCAAAGACTTAGCACTAGCCTAAGACATGTGGCCCACACCACTAAAGAAAGTGCTTTTCATACCAAGATGAAAACGTTCCCAACTCCAACTTCTCTTACTGAACTGTTTCTCTAAATTTAACAAGCCAGATGTTTCCTCTTACAAACAGGAATCACTGCTACAGTGATAGACCAAATGCCGGTGCCCGGCAAAATCATAAAAGAGCTTGCTGGAAAGCAAATAAGTTTTTGTTAAGTGTCTCCCTTTTCACAAAAAAAAATAAATAGCTTTTATATATCCCCACCTGACTTGAGTAAGACTTTTGGGGTAAGAAAACCCAATGAAACCCAATCCTTTTTGTCATGACATTCCCAACAGAAAACAAGTTAAGACCAACACATAAATCCTTTGGTTTGATAAGAAATTTAAGACTGTTTAATATAAAGAGCCATAGCAAATGGAAGAATAGCTAAAATGTTTATAGAGGTTTCATCCCCACAGCAAAATTCCATCTTCTTTTTGCTTACAAGCATGCTTCAGCTCTGTTGCTAAAAATAGGATTAATAATAAATTTTGGAGTATCAGCAACTGAACCAAGAAGTCAAGAAACCCCTCAAAATGAACAATAAGGAGGATAATTACCAAAAATATTGGTATGTTAGGCAGAAGTGTTTTAACCTCTGAAATTGCAGTGCAGACAGAACAGAGTGAAATCTTTTTACACCTCTAGTCATTTGCTTACTATTAGTGCAAAAAGCTACTGTGCCTCTTTGATAAAGCCCAAATATCCTATAGGCCTTGTACAACATCTCAAATTACAAACGTGTCTATTTGAATTATCTCAGCCAAATAAGCTAGAAGATCCTGGAGTTCCTTGCACTTGTTAAGCAAAATAGTCTGAGAGAATTGTGAATTCTTATTCCTCTTCAAATGAGTCAGGACTCAAAAGATCCTCAGCCTATTAAGGAAGGATAAAGGAAGAGAAGACACTCTTGGCAGGACAAAACATCAGCTGAGCAGACCAAGCATGTCTCGCAAAAGTCAGTGGCTTAACTACCTAAAGTGGGAAGAAGGAAAGAAATGGGAGTAGCTGGTATAAAAATCTGCCAAGTACCTTGTCAGAAATGTTGAAAGCGACTAACTAGTGTAAAAGTAGCTCAATTTTCACTGCTACTTGAGGGTTTTAGAGAATACCCAAAGGCACAAGCATTCTAAGAATTAAGATTAGCACTGCAAATTACCCAGAGAAGCTTTTATATTTGTTTTAAAACCAAACACTTGTCTTTCAGAAAATTACTGCGGCAAGTGAGGAAGAGTTGCACTGTAGCTTCTTTGTATGAACCAGAAGAGAAGTGCTACAGGAACTAAAGCTATTGACGTTTGCCTTGTTTGCCATATGTAACATTGTGACAGTTTATTAAATTAGACCAGGTATTACACATAAAAAAACTTCTCCATACTTTTCCACCACAAGCTCTACTAATGACAAAAGCCATCTTCTTTGAAAAGGAAAATTCTGAAGATCTGGTTTGTCAAAAGCTTCTAGCAGCATAGTGTAGCAAATCACCTTTGTAGGACAGATATGTAAATCAAGGCTTAAAGCTTTATTTTCTACTATTGATTTGGATACTATATTGAAGGGCACTTACCACCTAAACAAACACATGACTGTCTCTCTCTTTCCTGTTGATTTTTATAGGGTTATACATAATCATTTAGCAGTAAAAATGGGAAAAAAAATACCTTAAAATCAATTCCTCCCACAAAGACACGATTTGGAGTAACTGTTCCGAACCTTGGAGAACTGATGAGATTATTTAACCGTACCGGTGACACCGTGTTGGGACATGGAGGTAAAGATTCTGTTTGCATCTGATCTGTCACCTGCTGAGTGAAAGAAAACATTTTCAAAGTCTTATAAGTTATTTGTCAGGAAATGGAAATTCTCTACAGACCATACAGAGTTTTTTCAAAAGCACGGTAAATGCTGAACTGAACACGAACCACATTTTTATTCCGAATGCAGTTCAGTGTTTAAACATACGCTTAGTTTTAAGCAATTCAGTAACTTAGTGACCGTGGTCTGAAGTTTAACCCTTTTCCAAATTAGACATTTAGACCCTAATCCACCAGTCTTGGTTCAATCTGCACAGCACCCTGATGTATAAATCTCAAGTAATGCATTCTATTTCAGAAATTATTTTACACCTCTTAGAAGTCCTTATTTTAAACCTATATAGAATGGACATGGTTAACAATTTGTGCTCTCACACACATCTACAAGACACTGCTCTTTGCAACAGCTTCTGGTTGATTTTCCAAGCGACAAGCACCCGGAATTTCACCACATGAAATCAACAAGTTCTGTACAACTGATGAGAACAGTTCTTGAAGACTAGTCTTCTAATTCAACACTCTCTTGGCCTACCAACTTCCTGATGTTTTAATTTCCACCATACTTACCCGTGCAAACTAATTTAATTGGAACTCTTTTCAAAACACATGCATACTGCCTTATAAAGTCAACCCTAACTGGGAGGTCATAGCTGTAAAGCAGTCACACAGTATCGTCATTAACTTCTCCAACAGAAATTACAACAAAGGCTTCAAGACCATTATTGCTGTGGTAGTCCCCCCCTCCCCCCCAAAAAACTTACTAAAACCAGTACTGGACTCTAGTGCCCTGACAGTACCACTAGGGAAGGAGCCCAAAATGAAATACAGGCAGCTGCTGCAGGCTGCAGATAATAAGGCTAATAACAAGCAGAGCAGTAAAAACTAAAAGTAGGAATCTAGGGGTCTCAGCCTCTAACCTCTCTTCTGAAAGGATTTCTGAGATAAATGTATTTTTTTCTTACTATTGCTCAATCCTTAAAACTTGTAGCGAGGTCCAACACAACACATGCAAGTATATTTCAAACACAGAAAGCTACTGCATCAAGTATAGAGCTCTTTTGCTTCTTGTAGTATCTGTGCATTTCAGCCTCTCTGAAACCAGAGCAGAAAATGAAGTTTCGCTCTTAAACAGTTCTCTTCATAGGATCCCCCTTTCATTTACACTGTTTTACTTCCAGATTTTGCCTTTCCCCCATTGACAAGATAGTATTTTCTTGGCTGTGCCTCTAAGCATTCCTGGATAAAGCCAAATCACTTCTCTTTAAAACACACAAAAAGTAAAGGCTGACAGTTGCAGTATAGCAAAAAGTGGAAGATCACTAATTAAAAGAACGTCAGGAATAAAAGCTGTCTTTTCGTTTGCTCTGCAAGCCCTTCTAAGATTATTTGCTGTTTCCTTAGCTACCTGAGAATTCTGAGTAATGTGTTAATGCTATTGTTTTGGATACCTTAAAGACAATAAATCCAGCTTAAGTCACACAATTTAGGGAAGACGAAAGTCCTTTCTGAATTTACTAAAACACACATTTGGGGCAGAGGAAAACCCGAAGTCACTAACCTGATCTATTCTGAAGAATCCAGTATGCATTTCTCCTACTGGGAATATTAACCTAGAGTAGGGCCCAACCTGAACAACAGCCAACACTACTGGGCAAGGAATAAACGTAGTTGCTACAGTCTCAAAGGCTTTAGGAAGAGGACTGTTTTTTGAAGAGGAAAAACTCTTGAAAGACAAGACAGGTTACTTTCTCCATCGCTCGCACCAAAGACAACACTCTAATTGTATAATTATCTGGCAACTGTGTTCAGCACGGAAGCTTCTGGATTTAACTATAACAATTAACAGTTGACATCACAGTCAAAATGTATTCCTTACCTCAAGGAGCTCAGAGGGCATTTTCTCCATACAAGTTTTAAGAGCTGTCTTATTAAAAAAACCCCAACTAAACGAACACAAAAAACCCAAATGGAAGAAATGAGAAATTAACCACATCATTTGTGAACTCCCAATACAGTAAATTCCCATGAGTTTTAAAAGCTAAAATCTGTATCTGATAACCATCTCTTTATTGCTAGTGTGACAATAAGAAAACAGTATTAAAAAAAGTTAAATATGTACTAACATCACTTGCCCAAACGTTTGTTTTCACTGGTTTATAAACTTCCATCATTTTTCCCAAATAACGTGGATGTGTACACTCAACAATATTTTTACGTTTTATTTAGTGCGCTTGACAACCGCTCTTCAGCACAAGTGCTATCTGCATTTTTACAGTGAATACGCCCCGCGGTCCGCCAACCAAACCCTACGAAGGCCTGGCGATTCACCCCACCTAACTCCCCAGACAGCTCTATTTTCCACAGCCCGCGCGCTGTAAGGTCGGGAGCCGGACCTCGCAGCCCAGGTACGATTGTCCCGCACCCTCGGGGCCGCCGGCGGGTTCTCCACACCCTGAGGCAGCCGCAGACAAAATGGCGGCGGCAGCAGCGCCGCGCGGGCGGGCGCGAGCCGGGGCACCCCGGCGGGACGGCCTCGCTCCCGCTCCCAATTCCCGCCGCCGCTTCCCGCCCGCCCCGGCGGTTCCCCAGCCCCGCCTGGCTCCTCACCGCGCCCTCGGGATCCATCGGTCCTCGCAGCCGCCTCGTCGGCACGTTCCCGGCAACTTCGCGGCACGCGTCGCGCTCCTCAGCTCCGCCTCGCGCCCGGCCGGCGAGCGCCAGCAGGGACGGGCCTGCAACGGGCGGGGCAGACACAGCCCCGCGGCGGCGCTGCGGGCGGGGGCGGCGCTGAGCGCGGGGGTCGGGCGGACGGGGCAGCCCTTCCTTGTCCCAGCGCCCCGCCGCGTCCCGGTCCCCAAGGACTGACCCCACCTTGCCCCGGGAAGTCGGCTCTTTCGAAAACCTGCGGCCTCTCCCCGGGGGGTCCCGAGTCCCCTCACGAGATCCCTGCGAGGAGGCGACCGAGGGGTGCCTCTCGCCTCGCCCCCTCCCGGCCCCGCTGGCCCGGCCGCTCCCCGCCCGCCCCGCCTCAGGGCTTGGGGCTCCGTGCCGCCTGGGGGCCGCTGCAGCGCCCGGAGCCCCGGCTGCCCGTGCCGGTGCACCAGCCGGGCACGAGCCCGCGCTCCTCTCCCCGCGGGTACCGTGGCACCCGCAGCCTCCGGGCGCGTGTCCTGCCCCTCGGGGAGCGGCTGGTACCGCGCTGGGGAGCCCTGAGGCAGCCGAGGAACCCCCAGCTCTGCCCCCAGCACCTGAGGAGACAGGAGCTAACTCCCAGCTGGGTTTTTATCCTCTCAACGAGGGCGTGAAACGGGAAGGAAAATGGGGTCGTGCGTTTCACCTGGCCTCTGCGGGAGAAATACAAAGCAGGTGAGGCAGTTCCCTGGGTCTGGCTTACCAGGCCGTGATTGATGGGAGGTGAAAACATAGTTTAGACTTTACAGTTGTCAACATGAAGAAATGAAAGCCCTTTTTTCAACTCAAGGAGTCTTCCCAAGGTTCCCAAAGAGACTCTCAAGCAGGCAGACTGCCCTGAGAACAGCTGTACAACAGCAGGCCTGAGATGACCTTACAGATGCAATTTGGAGAGTGCTAGCAGAGAGGGCTGGAAAATAACACCTTCATGACCACTCCTCAAAATATTCCAACTCAAATTATTCTTTTTTCAGCCCTTACTGAACTGGAGGAGAAGCACCAATGGTAAATGCTCATGTCAGATGTACTTCTGGGGTCAATTACTGAACAGCAGTAGAACCTTTTCTCCTGTTCCATAATTTCATTCTGTCTGTAAATGCAGTTTGCCCTGAAAATATCTCTGTTGTTAAAGAGGTCTGGAAAAAAGAGTGAGTCAAATGCCAAACTCATAATCAATGTAGGTACAAAGGTACAACCTGACAAAAATCCTTGATTTGATGACAATGAGAGCTGGAATGCCACCCCAGTGGGAAAACTGTTTTTAAAGTGATCAAACATTCACAGGCTAAGTCACTGCAGCTCAACCCCAACACACAGTCACTGTAGGGTCAATTTATCCTTAGCTACTCTTGTGGTTTACTTTTTTTTGGGTGCTTTAAAATAAAGACTTCAAGGAATATTATTTTGACAATGTCTACAATAAAATACATTTTAGTTGAATTCAAATCTTTGTATCTTGCTTAAGTTTGCTTTATGCAAATTATACCCATCCAACCTAAACCAAACATCCCCTTACATTATTTAACTCTCCCTGAGTGTAGGCAGGGTACAGACCTGCAGTCCTTACAGGACCCTGCTACTGCTACACTGCTAATCTAATTACTTTTCTGGTGTTGCTTCAACATCTACCAGCTTCTGCAACATTATTGTTATCCCACAGAATAAAAACCCACAACCTTAGAAGAGTTTCTAATAATTTCTAATAATTCTGTGCCTGTAATGTATAACAATATAATGCTTAACTCTTAGTAGTGTGGGGTTTTTTAGCTGAGAAAACTATAAAAGTAAAGGCAATTTTAGCAGAGCTGACGGGATGTTTTTAGAAATAGTTATTTTGAGAGATTACAGAACTCTGCTGAATTGCATTCATTGACTTCTATGAATATTTATCAGAAGGCAACAAAGCTTATCCTAAGAACAGCACTATATTTTAATGATGTGAAAGGCAGAATAGCCTAAGCCTTTCATGTGCTTCATATCTTGGTTCGGGGAATTTAAAGTCAGAACAGCTGAAAGAATAAAGAAACATTCAGAGACGTAAAAGTGTATTTTACACAGTTTTAATTGTTGTATCTTCTACATTACACCTCCTCCTTTAGTTAAAAAAACCAAAATCTAGGACATTTATATTTAAAATAAGACAGTTGTGACAAAAATAGGACTTTGGCAAATAAATGAGAAAGATTGTGCTATTTTTTATTCTGATAATTTAAAACCTGAAAATTCAACACATGTAACAGGACTACTAGTACAGCTGGCAAAAATATATGCCATGCATACAGGATTTGAATATTACAACAAAGGCTGTGGGGCTGTCCTAGCACTGCGTGGCTGCTTCATTAAGGGAGCAGCATCCTGGCCGAGGGAGCCACTCTCAAAGGAAGTGAGGAGTGTGACTGTTTTTCCTGACACTGCATGTCAGCAATATACACAGCATGAAATGATCTCTCCTGCTGTTCTCTCCCACAAATTAAAAGGCAGTGCTGGACAAAGACAAGAGTCTGGCTGTGCTGGTTCCTGTAGGCTCTTCCCTTTTGTCCTTTTTTTAGCATCAGAGAAAGTCAGAGGTTAAGTGAGAAAGGATAAACTGAAAAAAGCGAGAGAGAAAAATAGGGAGGAAAAATGGATTGGGAGGAGAAAGGAGGAAAAGAATTTTCCAGGCACAAAAAGACAAGGATGATTTTATGAGTAATACATTTCACTGATTGATTCACTGACCTTGGAAAAGACATGCTACCTTTTTTGCTTCTATTATCTTCTATCTGTAGATAATAATGCTAGTTGCCCTACCAGCATGTTAAGATCCTTTCATGGAAATATGAGCACTAATATATCCTTGTCAGAGTGTGTACCTGATGAAAGATTACTTACTTCCTGCTCTCAATTTCATAAAAACAGCTCTTAGGATGTTACTAAAAAATTGACTTCTGTCCCTGCTGCATGGAATACAACTGCATTAAAAATAAAAACCTGTAACTTATGAAGATGTACACAGTGATTTTCTTATGAGCTTGTGAATGGATTCTTTACACCCTGACCCTAAACTAGAACAATCAAAAAGCCAAGAGCTCTTATGTATTCAAGGACTTGGAGGAAACCTCCTGAGAGATCTAACAGTGCTTAAAAGCACATTATGGTTGTCATTTAAGGAGTTCCACTGAGTAAAAATGTTATGGTCAGTGCCATGTGAAAAATGCAGAAGGAAATTACTTGTTTCTGAGAAGTTTTCCATTTATTCAAAGCGGTGTGTGTATTTCTCTAATATGACATTTCCATCTTACAGGCCCTTTTCCCACATCATTCCCTTTCTTGGGTTAGTTGGGCACATCTCCCTTCTAGATGAGCTGTGACCCCATCCCAATTTCCACCATTCTATCTGCCCTTTGTCTCTACCTCCTACTTTGTTTCTACTTGCCCTAACAATATTCTTGCTCACCTCTTGTCTCTGTCCCCCTTTCCTCCACATCATGGCTACGCTGGTATCCACTACTCCTTTAACCCCTGTAATCATCACAGGGTAAGTACTCAGAATACTGCAGGGCTCAAAAATTGTTGGGAGGGCCCTCAGAGGTACTGGAGGCACTGGGAGAGTATATGGGAGCTTCAGGGAGTACAAGGTTCCCTGGGGAGGTCCTGGGTGGCGCAGGGGTCTGTCAGGAGCACTGCAGGGTACTTGAGGGCTCTGCTGGACTGGGAGGGGCTCTGGGGGTTGGATACTGGCATGGGTGAGTGAGAGTTACACAGTTTCCTATGAATCTATCAAGCTGAGCTACTCCTGCACGAGTTGCTCATTTGTTCCCTATTTCACCTTTTCCCAACCCTCAGCAATGGATTATCCAGAGGAGACTGGGAGACTTCGATGGTCCCAGACCATGCTTCCAGGGTGGTAGATTGCTACTACACAACAAAAGCGTCTTCATTCAGTCCATTCTTGCAGAATAATAACATTATTATGGATAATTTCTAGCTCAAAATGTATCAGGGCAATTAGTGCTTTCTTTCAAATTTGAAGACATAATTAGGTTTTACAGCTTAGTTTAAAAATACCTTATTTTCCAAAAGTAAACTTCAGCGTGACATAGGTTATTGGCAGAAAGTTGCTACATAAGACTGGCTTGTTTTCTCTCTCTTTTCACAGTTCAGATTTATTTATAAAGTTCAGCTTTATTTATAAAGGCATTTGTGTACATTTTGTCTTACTTACTGGAAACTGCTGCATAAAAGTTTCCTTGTTGATGGAACTTGTCACAATTAAAATATGAAGGATACCATTAAAAGTGCCAGATTTGGAAAGGTACTTGAAAATGTAGTAGCATCTGAGTGACATTGTAAAGCTTATCAGTACTTTAATAAATGTCCCTAGCAAATGGGAGAATTATAGTACAATCCTTTCTTAAATCTGATAATGTGGTTGTTAATAGGAAATACTAAATAGGTCTACTGAGAAATCTGACTCCTTTATGTTTTATAAAAGCATAGTCCTCCAACAAAACACATAGATACATGTCACATGGAAATCTTAATAGATCTCCAGTGGGGTGAGTGAAGAGATATTTATCAGACTCCTCATTTACTTTAACTTAGTGTGACAGCCTTGATTGGCTTTTCCTCTAGATTTCCCCCTACTGTTTCATTTAGTTGAACAAAAATGTAATGCTTATCCCGAGTCTGATAAATTTTAGGCTTTTAATATTCTTTTGCAGTTGTCATAATATTATATTTTACGTGTTTCACTGAACTGAATATAAAATTCTGCAGACAGAAATAAATAAGTAGAAAAGACTAGAAAAAATTGACATGTGTTATGAAAGACAGGTTGGAAAAATACTTGCAAGAAAGATAAAATAACAGGCTTTGCTGCTCTAGAAGTGTAAAGTTACATGAATATAAGTGCAATTTAATAATATCTATATGCTGCTGTTATGTTAAAGTGTTCTTATAAGGTAAACAGGTTTTTCCTTTTCCTATTCATTTGACCACCATCTCAGAAAATCAACGTGGCTTCTAATCTTACCTTTTAGAACTTGATTCTTCAAATGTCATTGTATGTTTCGGTACCAACTCAAACAAAACAAAACAAAATAAATTTACTGTAGTTATGATGTTGCTAATCTATTCCACATACCTGGGGAAATTTTTAACACTCATGTAATTTTCTTTATTGCGTTTTAGATCCAGTAGCCCCAAAAAGCTTTTCTCTTTTTTGACTTCAGTGATTTGAAGTGGAATGGCACACAGAAATACAGAATCAAGCCATTTTATTCTCGCCCATTACAGATTTGCTGTTTGTTTCTTTTTTGTGCATGTGGTAAGTTACTCTGTAACTGCAGTTTTTCAGATTCAGATAAGACAGCTACTCCTGTTTTAGCAGGTCCCTTGTTTATGGGGTGTCCTAGTTAGAACGGCTGGGACCAGTTCATCACTGGATGGGTGTAACCCAAAACTGTGTATTCTATAGCCTTCCATGCCATTTCCCAGAAACTGTTATCAATGAACCATTTACACCATCTGCACATAGAGCCTGACTCCTCAGGCTATAAACTGGGTGTTAAGAGGCCTGCGAGATAGGAGGATTGCTCTTGTCCTCACACCCATTAAGGAACCCCCAGTCCTGAGCATTCCTGCCTGAACTGGAGGATATATAATCTTGGAGTCTTGGGACTTTTTTAACCACTTGTGGGATCCAGAGGAAGACTGCAGCTCACCGCTCTCAACCAGACTGCAGACCACCACTCTTGACTGGACTGCAACCACCACTTTTCAACCAGACTGCAACAGCACTCTCACCAACAGGTTTTCCCCTCTCCTTTCACTTTGGACTCGGGGCCCAAAGAACACCACTCTGTTCATGCCCCAGGGTGCTGGGTTATACATTTGGGTTTTGTGGGTTAAAAACAATTGTTTGTCTGTACAATCATACTTATTGTATTATTTTATTAAATTGTTATTCTGACTTATAATCTCTCTTTTGAGTTGAGTTCATTTCCCCCACTGGTTTACCTTTAAACCAGCACATGGGGGAATGCTTGCATATATCCCTACACATTCCTGTTGTTTTTGTTCTGCTCTCTGTTACTCAAAACTTCTACATGTAAAAGTGGAAAAAAGAGTATAACAATTGCTATTGCTTAGAAACACTACTTGAATGGCTGAAAATGCTGGAAAATAATCAACCTTTACTTCAATTTGTTTGTTCTTTCCCGTGTAATACTGTATAGAACTGTATGTAATGGAATACATATCAACCTACCATGTACCTTTCCCCTGTGAATGAAGAGCTTCTGTAGTTGCAGTCTTTCCAGTGTATTCCTTCCTCTTTCA